GAGTCTGCGTCTACAGCCCTGATCTTTGCCACAAAGTATCCCGCTTCAGCAGAATAGGGGATGCTCTCACTGTTAACGGAGCCATGCTCAGAGTAAGGAGCGAGAATTGTTGGATTATTATCATTTTCATCCAGGATTAAAATGTTAACAGTGACGTTGCTGCTGAGCGGAGGAAGACCAGAGTCTGTGGCCTGAACTTTAAACTGAAAACTTTTTAACTCCTCATAGTTAAAAGACTGCAGACTGATTATGTCTCCAGTCTCTGCGTTAATGTTTACCATTGTAGACACCGGCACTGATTTACTGTTACTCTCTAAAAATGAATATCTCACCTGACTATTCCGGTCAGTGTCCGCATCATGTGCAGTTACCCTTTTAATAATCTCCCCAACTTTACTGTTTTCTTTGACGTAGACATTAACAACCGATTCTGAGAAATTAGGCGAATTGTCGTTTATATCAGAAACGCGAATAGTAATCACAGTTGTGTTCATTAATGGCGGACTCCCTTCATCGGTCGCTGAAACTGTAACGTTGTATTGGGAGGTAATTTCTCTGTCAAGGGCCCCGTCAACGACTAAAGAATAATAGTTTTTGTAGTTGGTTTCTAGTTTAAAGGGAACATCATTTTTTATTTTACATTTCATTTCCCCATTCTTACCTCCATCGCGGTCGAGTACGGATACAAGTGCTATCGCAGTACCTACACCTGCGTCCTCCTTTACGCTGCTGAGGAGTGACGTCACTGTTATCGCCGGAGCGTTGTCATTTACGTCTATTACCTCAACCAGCACCTTACAGTGAGCAGACATCGGTGGCTGGGCCTTATCGTTAGCTTCTGCGCGGATCTCAAACGCTGTATATTCCTCATAATCAACATTAGCTTTGACTGTGATCACCCCCATTACAGGATCAATGTGAAAAATCTCTAATATACGATCCTGCCCTTTACTTCTCAAAGAATACATTATCTCACCGTTTGTTCCCTGATCTGCGTCTGTTGCATTTAGTGTAATCACATTTGTCCCGATTGGTGTATTCTCGAATAAACGAGTTTTGTACAAGGGGGTACTAAACACTGGTGGGTTATCGTTTATATCTAAAACATGTATAATAACTAGTGACGTGCCAGATCTGGATGGAGTCCCTCCATCTGCAGCAATCACTGTGAGATTTATCACAGGCTGCTTCTCTCTGTCCAGCGTTTTCTGTAAGACTAGTTCGGCATAGACGCTTTCTCCGCCTTTGATAGTAGCGAGAGAAAAATATTCATTCGGCGTCAGCTTAAAAGCGTTAACCATATTCTTCCCCACATCTGCATCAATAGGCTCAGACAAAGCGAATTTCATCCCAGGCAGAGTATTCTCTGCTATGTCTATAATCTGAGACCTTTCCGTGAATAACGGGTCGTTGTCGTTGACATCTAGAATATTTATTTCTACGCGATAGAGCTTTAAAGGATTGTTTATCACAGCTTCTACATTGACTGTGCATTTTAGGGTCTTCGCACAGAGCTCCTCTCTGTCTACTCTCTCATTAACATATAGAGCACCGGTTTTTAGATTTACCTCGAAATATTTTCTTTTCGAGCCGCTGACAATCTGAAACATGCGAGATTCCAATTCCTGAAGGCTGAGATTTAAATCCTTAGCGATATTTCCCACAGAAGTCCCCACATCCACTTCCTCAAACACGGAATATGAGAGCTGCACAGATTGCGCTTCCCGACAACACTCCAGCAGCACAAGCACCAGATATGAAACAATAGACATCCTCATTGGTACATGCATAAATCCACAACGTAATTGAAACGCAGATCCCAACAAGGTCACCTTTTCACAATTTCTATAGTTACTATAAATACACTTTCAGATATGCGCTAAACTATAGTGTACACCTACATGTACAAAATAATATATACACCCTCGGTCCTTTCGCACCGTCCTTGCCGTTTTTGTCAAAAAGCCCGGAGAGCCACATCCTCTTGTACAACTGGGAGGAGCACGAAACTACGACACAGAAATCTCAGTGTCACAGTCTGCGGCGCCACCACGTGGAAATCTGCCACAACTGTCACAATATCTCTTTCATAAATAATCAACGGATGTTTGTGAGCGATTCTTAGTATTTCACCTTCTTTTTTACTGTTGGTAAAATGCATCTGAAATGTTACTAAATTAATTTAATACTATATGTAAATTAAATTCACAAGTTGATTGATTTCGTCTGATAATGAACAGAAGAAAAACACATATACACACCATCGAATCCACACTGTGTATGTAAAAAACGAAAATAAAACAGAAAATATAAAATGTTCTCCAAATTGTACTTAATATACTGGTTAATTTCTGTAATGAAATAACACAACTGGAAATGTTAAATACCGCTTTAACGGGTTCAGCCTGGGTCCTTGTAAGTGTCTCCGTGAAGTACAGGTGCAATTTTTTTATGCTACGGTTGACCTAAAAGGTTCAGAAAAGAAAGTTTACCCTTACCTTCTCTTTGTTAGGTAAAGTCTGAGTCTTGGTAAAAGTGTCTCCTCCGTTAATACTGATCAGTTCTCCATCTACAGGTGGAAACGGGGCGGGGAAAACCACCACGTCACTCTTGAGCGTGTCTGAGCTGAAACACACGTCATACTGCTGAGTAGCTTTAGAGTAAGACCAGCTCCCGTCAGGGTGGGT